AGAGGACCCGGAGAAAACCCATACGTACGAGGTTTGACAGGCGACCCTATACTCCTTACCACGTACAAGCTGAGAATTGAAACCACGCCACTTGACCCAATGACAGGCCTTATGACGCAATGCGCACAAGTTAAAGTTGGTTTGGATTCTGTAACTTTCTTGGCGATTTTTAATATCTTTGTTGGTTTTCTTTACACAATTTCGTTTTATTTACCCTAACCACATATAGTAAAATAATATAGCACATATATTCTGATTGTGATTGTCAATTATATAACTTTTATCCTTTATGGAAAAGTCCTATAGAAAAAGTATAGGTTTCTATAGAAGTTTGTGGTATTCTATAGAATGCTGCAGGAAAACGAACTTATCCTGTAGTTTTTTTTTCACTTGACTATACTCTTCAAAAAACATTTACTATAGTTTTGTGTAGGATTGGTAGATTAGTTTTTTTTCAAGTGTAATTTCCTAGAATGTATAGAATTCTCTAAGAAACTATTGGGAAAAAAATAAACCTATAGTAGTATAGATTCATTGGTGCTGCTATAGAATTCGTGGTAAAAGCTATAGTTTTCTATAGTTATCCTGGAGTCGGTTGAGTAATCCTTTAGTTTTCTATAGCCTTTGTGGTAAAAAATATAGTTTTCTATAGAACTAACCCGTATTCACAAGTCAGTTGTGGTTCCTATTGATTTGGTGGTAAAACTCTAGTTTTCTATAGAACTAACTTATTGTCTTAAGTCCGTTGTGTAATCCTATGGTTTTCTGTGACATTCTGTAGAAAATTATGGAAAAAAAAAATTAATCGGATGAGCCTTCTATAGTTTTCTGTAGAATTTATATGTATACTGTACTTAAACCATTTTAACAAATAGCCTACTATAGATTCCTACAAAATAATGTAGTAACAATGTTCTATACTACAGATTTAATACATTGGCGATGTCTTTTATTCAAACTATAGTTTGCAATAGAATTCAGTGATGCACTTGTGTGAATTATGTAAACGTTTCCAACAGAATACAATTTACTGTGATACCAAATGACAAACTAAAATAAGCTTACCACGAAAAAAAAAAAAAAGTCTTAAAATAATATTATTTTAATGTAGTGTATATAATTATGAATGAAATAGTGATACATGTTGACACTCTAAGAAATTCCCCACCCAATCTTCCCAAAAATGCCAGTAAATGTAGATCTTCACAGCAAAAATAACAGATAATAAAGGATTCAAGTCAATGAAATAAAGCAAAAGTTACGATAGCAGATCCTGTACTCAAATTATATAATTTGTTGAAGCCACCAGGTCAACCGTGCACACCTGACCTGTCGACAATTAACAGCCAATTTACTCTCTTGAAATCTGTTTGGCCATTGGTTGAATTTTAAATTCAAAAATTCAGTGTCTGTTAATATTAACTAACAGGAAACTGTAGAGAATGGTTTTGGTTTTTTTCACAGATTCGATTAAAGACAGAAAGATAAGTATTTTTTATTACTTTCTCAACAATAATATTAAATTATCAGAAGAAACAACAATAAATCACTCCAAACATTAGCCCACAACAATCAGCATCTCCATTAAAAAAACAACCACCCATATCAGACCAAACCAGCGGCTGCCAGGCAGGATACGCCCAAATTTTTTAAGAGATGGATAGAACAAGCTAAAAACAAAAACGATTTTTTGTACAATCAGGGGCAATAATCCAGAAAGTTATGCTTTGAAATGCGCAAATATCAAAAGGGACTGAGATCTTTGGGATATAAAGATATGTTTTAAGTTTCATCAGAATCGGATAAAAATTGTGACCTCTAGAGGGTCGACAACCTTCGTATTGCATACTTTTACACAATTTGCGTACAAGAGCGGCCATTTTGTCGGACAGTTTCATTTCGATTTTCCCGAAATTCGAACTCAACCTTCATTATGGTGGAATGGTGAAATATTTAAACGGTTTTTAAAATCGGAAAAAAAACCGTGACCTCTAGAGAATCTGCAAGCTCAAAATGCGGTTTTTCGAACAATCAGGAGCCATAATCCAGGAAGTTACGTCGGATATACGCGATTATCAAAAGGATCCCAGATCTTAGTGTGTAATGATGATATATTCACATGTTTTTTTTTTTAAATCGGATAAAAATTGTGACCTCTACATGATTTTTCATACAATCAGGGGCCATAATTCAGGAAGTTACTATCCGATATGCCCGAATATCGAAAGGAACCAAGATCTTTTGGTTATAAACATGCATTTCAACTTTCATCAAAATCAGATCAAAATATTGTGACTTCTAGAGGGTCCACAACTTTGATATACCAGATGTTTACACTAATTGTGTACGAGGGGCGGCCATTTTGTCCGGCAGTTTTGGTTCGATTTTCACGAAATTCGAACTCAACCAAAAATACGGTTTAACAGTGATATATCTGAACGTTTTTTTTAAAATCGGATAATAATTGTGACATCTAGAGCTAGAAACGCGATTTTTCGTACAATCAGGGGTCATAATTCAGGAAGTTACTATCCGAAATGCGCGAATATCGAAAGGAACCAAGATCTTTGGGTTATGAACTTACATTTCAAGTTTCATCAAAATCAGTTTTGGTCCGATTTTTACGAAATTCGAACTCAACCATTCTTAGGGTGTAACGGTGGTATATTCAAACGGTTTTTTCAATCGCATAAAAATTATGACCGCTATAGGGTCCACAAGCTAAAAAACGTGATTTTTCGTACAATCAGGGGCCATAATTCAGGAAGTTACGGTCCGATATGCGCGAATATTGAAAGGAACCGAGATCTTTGGGTTATAAAGTTACATTTCAAGTTTCAACAAAATCGGATAAAAATTGTGACCTCTATCTTATGGAGATAAACCTAGATATATTTCAAGTTTCGTCAAAATCGGATAAGAATTGTGACCTGTAGAGTGTCCACAAATAATTGTGGACGGACAGGGGCGACGACAATATACACATGAAAATGTGGGCGTATAAAAAGCCACCACCTTGACACTCACCAACCATCCCTCAATATTTGTGACCATGATCTCAACATTTAACCACAAACCTGCCAACAAAAACTGAGCTATCACCCATCCTCGTCAGCATACAATTCCATAGCAATTCATACTACAAAATCAGACAAGTATGGTGGATATTAATAGATGTGCTAATAATATTATTTTTAAAAAATCATGGTGTTAAAGGGCCAATCCCGATAATATTTTGGAGAATAAAACTGCTTAATTTTGTGTTAAAATCCTCTACCAAAGGGCCGAGCAACTAACTCAATATTTGTGATACTTTTTCAAACAAGTCTTAAACCTATCAGTCTTCATCTGGAAATGGAGAACGGTGTCACAAACTGTATTATGCGGCTTATAGATAAACCAGATTTTTACTTATAAAAATAATGTGTAGGTGAAATTTACCTTTCGTTATCAAGTACAGCACATGGGTGATTCATTGTGTAGACCTCTAAAGGAATGGGGATCGATTATCAGGTCACCCAACAAAAAAATGACCAGAAATCTTAAAAGGGTTACGTGTCCGGATAAGCATTTATGATGTTCACATCCAAACGACAAAATATTGTGAGCTGAATTTTTGAGACAAGGTAAACACACCATTCCTCTATATTTTGGCGCTTAAATTTCAAACGTACTCAGACTTTTATTTTTGAGACTCTGTGCAAATCGGGATAGTCCCTTTAAGTGTGTTTATAGTTACATGTACTTACAATTTGATAATACATCAAGAGTGCATAAAGTTGAGGATAACTTAAACAAGGTTTTACAAGGATCATTCATTTTAAGGTTGGATGGCAAAACTAAATTGTCCATAACAAAAATTGCCGAAGGTAGATTGCTGTGGATTTTTTTCTTGGGGTACTATGTTTAGGATTTTTTCCCCAGGTTGTAGTGTCTCCTACCAGCCTACAGTCCAATTTCTTGAATTAACAACAAAAAGGTTACAAGAGAGTATTATTTTTAATAAATTTTATTTAAGGTATAAAATGTAAATAGAATAACAAATCATGATATAAGTCAATTTCATTTATCTCTTTATATATTCCAATGATGTCACAACAATCTAAATGTTAAAAATATGCACTTCAGAAGACTTGAGTAAGAATGTTTTGTTCACGGTCAGATAAGCTAAATTAAGACATTCTGATATCTAAAGGCTTTAGAGGGTAATACTAATAGTTTGTATATTTGAAGCTGAAACTACATATAAATTGGCCTATGTTTAAATACAAAAGTTAAACCTAATTTGTGAACACCATAATTCTGATAATTAAATCTTTTCTGCACCTTACTTTAAACCTTTTCCTTGTGAGATTCAGATCCAACTTTTTTTCATTTATGTAAAATAAAGACCTTACTGCACCTTACTTTAAACCTTTTCCTTGTGAGATTCAGATCCAACTTTTTTTCATTTATGTAAAATAAAGACTGACATTAATTTATGAATCGAAGTTATCTGCATTTAAGACAATATTTTTATTGTACAAATCAAAGAACAAATTCACATATACAAAAATTATACAACTAATAAATCAATAGTGCTGTGTCACACAATCCCATCACATAGTAATATACAAAAATTTAAAGAGACTTGTTAATATTTTTAGGTTTATCTAAAAGATTTATCTATAAAGATTTCTTCTAACCTCTAATTCAGACTGGATGACAATAGACTGTCATTTTCAATTCTTTATGATTGTTAATCACATTTCATAATTATTAATGTGTAACTAATTAGTTCAAATATAGGTTCTAAATTTGCATACAAATCTGACATTTTATAGTTTAATAATCAGGAATTTATCTAAAGTAACGGCAATGTATCCTATTTTGGTGGAACAATTTTAGTATACAACAGTCTCTCAATGGCTTTAAATAGAAAACAGATGAACTTAAAGATACAACTATGGACTTTTAACTACCAGTAGAGCCTATTTCAGCAACAAATATAAAAATTAGTGTTATTTCCGAAGCTGGGTTTATTTCACTTGTAGCACTATAACTATTCACTATTCAATGTGTATACACCGGCTGCCCATCATATGGCCATGCTCTTCACTTTGTTAGTATAACCCTTCATTCACAGCGTTTCTTTTTTCCTTCTATCACTTTTTTCCCATATCGATTTTATAATTTTTTAATTTCATTTGTCGACTTCAGGACTTGGATCAGCCGACATATCAGTTGACAAAATGCCATCAAAAGTGATAGGTTGACATTCCAAGTTACGTAAATTGACTAATACACATGTACTTGTATCGCAAAACTTGGGTACTGTCAATAATAATACTTCTTGACCATCAGCACCTGAAGAACATATTGTAAATAGATCTGTTAAAAATACATTAAACAATAATTAGTCTGTGACATTTACCTTTATGTAAAATATCTAAAACAACTCTTAGAAGATGTGGATTTATCTAACCATAACTTTAAAAAAGCCAAATGCAAATATAATTACCTTTGTGTATTCTTGATTCAAAATCTTTCTGATTAGCAGCAAAGTAAACATGTGGACATTCACTTAAAATAAATGGATCTTCTTCATAAAATGGATAACAACCTAAAATTGTCATTAAAATTAATTCAGCAATCATTCTGCCAGTGGCAAGATCAGGACAATAGTAGAGGCAAAAAGAGCTGCCCCTCCCCTTCCCCTTATGATAAAAACAGAAGCAAGAAATAAATGAATGAACACTCAAAAGTATATTTCAGATTGGAAATTCATTTGAAAGTAGTTAAACATACATTCTCACGAAAGTATTTATAGAGAAGTTATTTCCAATAAAAGAATGGAAAGCAGATGCCCATTCTTACTAGAAAAATACCATGAGGTAAGCACTGGGCAAAAATGTCAGCGTTTTACAAACTGTTAGCTTGATAGCTTATAATTGTTCTTCAACTTAACTTAGGGGGTGGTTATCATTTCTTGATCGAATCCTTAGGTGGTTTTGGGAACATTGAGGGGTTTAAACGTACAACAGGCTCTGCAAGTAAACGGCGAAAAAAGAAGTTGGCAGAAGATAATCCAAGAATTTACTTAGGCTTCAATAAGTATGGCAAATGGACAGTAAGTAAACGATCAAATTGGATTCTAAAAAAAGATTTTTTATAACTTGGGGTATTTTCTCTTATATACAATGTTTTGAGAGAGATTTGAAGCAAATTTTTGATAGATTAGTTACTTTCAATGTCTTTAGTCCAAATATATCATCAAATCACCCAGTTTGTAGGCAGGAAGGCATGTTTAAACTGTAATGTGCATAAACATGTCTAACAATTCTACAAGAATACATAGTTTTTAAACATAGCATTTCATTCTCAAAACATGTCTATGGTACTTCCTTTTCTGTATAAGGTGCAATATGCTTTAAAACAAATTACTGAACTGCCTAGTCTCTCTTAAATTGCTGCAGCATATTTTTTGGACAATGGTACATTATTCAGAGGCTGGCACTACATAATTGAATTTTTTACACATTACCTAAAGTATCTGGAGCAGTGGGTGCTATATGTCCCCATTCTAATGTTTTCTCTAACATATCCAGTCTATTATCTATATCACTGTATCTGTATATATCATCTATAGGTTGACCGGAACTGCCTAATATCCTATAAAAACAAAAACATTTGCATTAACAACAACTTCTGATCATAACATGGATACAAATTTTGGCAAAATTTTGGAGAAATTTAGTAGAAAATGTATTTACTTTTATTCCAATTTACGCAATCTGAGTTATGAATTTGTTTTCTAAAAGTTGGAAAACCATGACTGTTTTTCAGAATCCATCGGTGTACATTTTTAAAAATGTTTCACATAGATTCAATATGAATAGTAGACCGTTACACACATTTCTAATTTTTCAATGCGAGAGAAATAGGGTTTAACGTCCACTCACACGAACTAGGTTATTTCGGAACTAACATGGTTCAATTTTATTTCAATAATTTGCATTTGTGTAGGGGTCTTTAGCAGTGAGCAGTAACCGGAGGACCCTGAGAAAACCTACTCCTTGTTAGGTACAAGCAGGGAATTGAAACCATGCCAATTGACTCAATGACAGACCTGAAGGTTTCACACACACATGTTAAACCATAAGACAACTGAGGTGTGTACTACTTATAATGTAGGATTGTGTCACACATTGATCTCTTTAACAGTAGTTAGTGATGGTGTGAAGGTTTTCTTACTCGATCTCGAACACCTAGTAACACATTATTCAAGGAAGTTGTGTAGCCCCAAACCTTCTCTATTTAATTAAAAGTGATCTGCTGAATAGATGATTACATATATAAGACATGTAGAATATGAGCTAAATCTGACAGTGTAAAATATACATACCTTACACCATTGACAGAGAAATCATAAGGATTAGTTACATTGTGTAGTGTTTGATAGGAATTGGCTTGTGGAAACATACATCGATGTAACTGTTGTTGTGGTAGGGTATGATTAGATGGATCAAATTCTCCAGCCATGATATCAACGTCTACACAGGACTGAAATACATCACATACTAAATGGTATATTCATAAGTATTCACAGATGACATTCATATTATAAACCTCTTTTATTTTGAGTAAAACTTCCTTGATTTTTATCCATAAACTTTCTCACAAAGATTCTCATATATAAATGAACAAATTCTTTTTTAACTTCACATTTGTTTGAAAGCTTTATGATCTTAAATACATTCAATGTATTGTAAATTTGTTCATGGGAGATATTTTTACAAAGAGCAGCACTAAAAAATATTAGGAAACCTTGTTTATACATGGAACTTTCTTGTGACATATACAACAGCTTCCAGTATAAACAGGTAATTTCCATCATATTTCTAATGGCAAGGAAACTTTAAAGTATTATAGACACAAATTGCAGAATAAATTAATCTGTCGTTTGCAATTTGATCATTTGAGTATCAGAGTGCTCTATTGATGCACACTGCCTAGTTCACACTACATTTGCATCAATTTGTTGCCTTAAAGGGGCATTAGGTAAGATTAGATAAAGAGCTGTCAGTTCTTGCTATAATATGCTGAAAACAGAATATGCTGAAAATTTCAGTTTAATTCCTGCACTCTGAACCAAGATATTAGCAATTCTATTTTAGGCCTGCCTCAGTCGTAATTACTAACGTTGGTATGATAATAAAATTAAGTCTTGATTATCCATTTTTGTTAAATTATCCATCACCAAATGTATTCAAATCCACTAAATATCGCAGGCTAAAAATGGCAACGAGAGTTGATTATGGTCTAGATAAGTTAATTAATATTTAATTAATAATTTAGATAACATTTCAGGCTTAAAGACAGACCTGCAACAGGCAGATTTAGTTCTTGCATAATGCATGTTTAAATCAAAATGACATGGCTTTAATATTAATTTTCATTATTTAACCATGCATTATGCAAGAGCTAAATCTGCCTATTGCAGGTCTTTCTTTAGGCCTGAAATGTTTTCTAAATTATTAATTAAATATTAATTAACTTATCTAGACCATAATCAACTCTCGTTGCCATTGTTAGCCTGCGATATTTAGTGGATTTGAATACATTTGGTGATGGATAATTTAACAAAAATGGATAATCAAGACTTAATTTTATTATCGTACCAACCTTAGTAATTACGTACCAACGTTAGTTATATGTGTGTTTAGGCTCTCAACTGTTAAGCAAAATATATCTCTTCAAAAAAATCCAAAAAACCCTTACAGCTAATTGTACTAGTACATCATCTAAACTTTTCATAGCTTCAACACTTCCTGCTTTAGTTTTCTTTGTCAGATATTTTGCCTGGAAAAAAACCGCTTTCTCAATGATTCTTTGGTCTTTATCAAGCAAATTACACCATTATAAATAATGATAGGACATTATACACATGTAAACAACAATTTAGTTAATGATGAATGTATTATTATATATGTATCAATAAAGTGTGAATAAAGCAATCGGTTGCCAATCAAGATACGCCCACATTTTGCAAGAGATGGACAGAGAACAAGCTAAAAACGTGATTTCACATACAATTATGGGCCATTATCTAGGAAGTCTGATATGCACCAATATCGAAAGCAACCAAGATCTTTGAATCATAAACATACATTTAATGTTTCTTCAAAATTGAGACCCTCTAGACTCTAGCGTGTTCGCAAGCTAAAGGGGTGATTTTTTGTACAATCCCGGGCCTTAATCCATGAAGTTACAGTCCAATACATGGCAATATTGAAAGGGACCAAGATCTTTGGGATATAAACCTATATTTCAAGTTTTGTCAAAATTGGAGAAAAATTGTGACCTGCAGAGGGGCCACAAACAAAATGTAAATGGATGGACAGGGGTGCTGACAATACACATCCACAAAAAAATGTGGACATATAAAAATAAATTTATGCTTTAGTTGCATTCAAGACATCTTACTGTCAGAGCAATTTCTGGTAAGCCATTTGCTAAATATATTTGTTGAGCACAGAAATTAAATGCAATGTAAACAACAGCATTTAGACTCGACCATAAAACAGTATTGACCATTGTCTTAAAAATAGAACAAAATTTATATGACGTAAACCTTGTATATTTTCAAAAAACCCATTTACAAACATGGATAGAAACTCTTCAAAGTAACTATAGAATTACCTTACCTTATTTAAACTTTCTTTATCTTGAGTTGATTGACTAAGTGAGTTACCAGCTACAATAACTCTAACTACCTGTGATGTAGCTTTCTGCTGACCTTCATCACCTAGTTGACCCGTCACTAAATCTATAAATAACTGTAGTTGAAATAATTTCTCCTGTTTACCACCTATTTCAATACCTGATATAAATACTACATACCTGAAATAAAGATATTTAAAATTATAATACCTCAATGCCCATTTTGTTAAATTAAAGTGACAATATAAGCATGTTGCACTTTACAGAGTATTTATTATCTGCAGTAATGACCAATAATCAATAATCTTTGTAACTCTATTTTGAATTCAATAACTTTAATACTGAATGATTAAACACTATGCAAAATCTATGCTGACAATGCATCAGCAAGTTCTAATATCAATATTTTCAAACTAAACATTCTATATTTTATAATTTTGAAATATATTTAGATGAAACTAAAAATATCAATAAAATATTTGCTGGAAGGTGGGTGTATGTGCCTAAAATATGGAATAGATTTTCTAGCTGATAGGACGATGATGTGATAAAGTACCTATCATTTTCTATAATTGGTCTAGGTAATTGATTTGGTAAATATTGAAAACAATATTCCTCAACATAAAACTTTCCTGCATCATTTACTGGTTCTCTACCAAATACTGCTATAACAGGTCCTGTAAATACATCAATTTAAAATGATATAACTTTTTGGTTAATCCTTCATTTATTATAGACCCATATGAAAAATAATATATAATATTCAGAACTTTGGCACATTGTTGAATTAAATATTTTTTTCAATAAATTACTCTACTTTTCAAAGATACTGATCGGTTCATCTAACTATCTACTGGTAGTGGCGGTTGGGTAGTCTAGTGGTTTAATCCATCCGTCATTGAGTCAAGTGGTGTAGTTTTGATTTCCTGCTTGTACGTGACAAGGAGTTGGGTCACCTGTCCAACCTTGTGGGTTTTCTCCCACTGCTAAAGACCCCTACGTGCAAGCAAATTATTGAAATAAAATTGAACTAGTCCCAAAATAACCTAGTTTGTGTCAAGTGGACATTAAACCCAATACATACATAGTTCTAACTTTCTAAGACAATAGGTTCCCACACATGAAATAAGATGTGTTAAGAAAAACACAGATCTATACCTGTAACAGATGTTGATGTTTTTATATCTCCAATTAGAAATATTCTTTGAAGTTCATCTTCTAAAATGAGTATGTCATTTTCTTCAGTGTATTTTGATAGAATTGGTTGAGGCATCAAATTATGCTGAAATAGGGTTAAATTTCATTTAGGTGTAATGTTAATAATACATTTCCTGGGTATGGTATATAAACCTAAGACAAGGGAGTCCAAATTTTCTCTGGATAAGCAAATCTAGTTTGCATTATCCACACTAAATCAAACAGGTGCTTGTAACATGGAAAATCTTTCAAAAATAACATAAACTGAGGCTAAGTATTATGTTTTAAGTCTGTTATGTTCCTGTTTGTATAAGTGAGATATTCAACTTTGGGGTTGACTGGTCTGAAACAACTACTCAATTCTCTATCAGCAGAAATGGAAGAATCAACTCTGTACTAACAATTCAATGATATCAACAAATCTTGAAAAAGCAATAGAGAAAAGATACTGATCTGGAAAATCCACCATTCCTATGCACCAGAAACAGCCACCAAAACTGAATTTTCAACTGAGTCAAATGGCATTCTTATAGAAAGATAGGTTGCCAGGCAACAAAACATACGCCCACAGCAGCTAAATCGTCCGGGCAGTCAACAAGAGTTGTCGCATATTTTTACTTTTTTCGGTAATGAAACATTTATAATACACTAAAATCTGATTAAGAGCAACAACTGAGAAAAAAATTAGAATTTGTTTGGTTTTTATAAAGTTCTACCCCATGCTAACGTTTTGTATACAAAACTTTTAATATCATGGATTTAGCTGTTCATAAAAATTCATTGAAAATCAATATACTTGTTCCTCTCAAGATCTTAAACTATGTGTATCAATCTGAAGTCAATCGGATATTAACTTTGGCCTCTAGAGCGTCCACAAGATTTTTTGAAGTGATCAAGGGCCATAACTTTGGCAGTAATTATCGGAAATCGCTGAAAATCAATAGGATTCTTCTTCTCATGATCCTAAACACTGTGTATTAATTTAAAGTCAATCGGATATTAACTTTGGCCTCTAGAGCGTCCACAAGATTTTTTGAAGTGATCAAGGGCCATAACTCTGGTAGTAATTATCGGAAATCGCTGAAAATCAATAGGCTTCTTTGTCTCATGACCTTAAACACTGTGTATACATTTAAGATCAATCGGATATTAACTTTGGCCTCTAGAGCGTCCACAAGCAATTGTGGACGTCGGACCGCCGGACGGACGGGGGCGACGACAATATACGACCACATTTAAATGTGGGCGTATAAAAATTGGCATAAATTTGTGACCAACAATTTTTTTATGTTTGAAATATTGAATAAGGTAAAAATAAGTCTAGAATTAGCATTGAATAGAAAAATAGATCTAAGGCCATTCTGAGACTTAAACATGTCTCTTATTTCATAAACACATAATAATGATATGTGTGAATATGTCACATGTTACTAAAAGTAAATGATCAACACTTTCTTTCTCAAAATCTATTTGAGAAGAAGGATAAATTATATCAACTAAAATGGTCACTCTGAAAAAATTATTCAGTGCATGATCTCTATCCCTATTCCACGATGAAGTGGTGACACCACTCTCTTGGCATCTGCATAAAAATTGAGCTGAAATACCATCAAGTGAATACATGAAGCTTAAATATTTCATAAGCTATCCCAGGTCTTACCTCTTCGCTGACCTCCTTGAGTATACTTGGTTTAAGTTCCATATGTTTAAACAGTGTACCAATAACAATACATTTTTCACCTTGTACTAGTTCATGTAATTTTCTAATTGGAACATCTAAACCTAAAAATTAAACAGAAATTCTTGTATTACCATTCTTGAAAACATTCAGATTCTCAAGTCAAAAAACATAAAAGTCATTTTGCTTACAACAAAGTCCATATGCAGATCTATATAAATTACTCTACAATTTCCTAAGTATTAGCAAGATGTTTTGTGCACCCATACAAGTTCATATGTTTCATCTTCAAATGATAATTCATAAATGTGCATGTACATGACTGTTATTTGTAGAGGGTATTCTTTCATAGAAAACAAATACTCAAACTTATGTTTTAGATACCTGTCTGAAACCATTGTATATGTACGTGTATCCCACAATTTCAAACTGAACAGCACATTATTCAACCATGTTCAGAAGATCAATACTGGCTAACTTAACAATACTCGCAGTGTTTTGTTTGATTAGAGCTAATCCCACTACTCACTGCTGTAAAGAAAGCAAATTCTTGTTCCAAATTATGACTGGTCAATAGTCTGATTAACAACCAATAGCTAACTGCATAACAATATCCTTACGCTTTAAACAGAGCTCCAAATTGGACCAAATATGTTCACATAACATTACGACTTACGTCATGACTCACGATTTTATTATGCCCAATTAACCAGTGAATAGCAGAATATTGCAGAAAAACTAATTGTGTGACAAACGAAGCTATCAACACGGATATAATGTAAACAATACTGTTTTGAGATGAACAACACTTTCACCGTTTTTAATACATTAAATCACTGTCCAAAGTTTTAGGGAAGACCCCAGATTAAACGAAGGGCTGTCATGTTGCTGTGCTTGGGGATAGATTTGACTGAATGAGAAGAATAGACACACGCCCTCAAAAGCGCAAGTATTAGAAGCTAATCCAGCGATGGCCAGAGAGGGATTTCAACCCATCAAATTACTTATCTCTGCTTATCCTAAGCAGAAAATGCTCACCTTCGAACTCCATCAAGGCATTGACCTAATAAACACCTACACCAAGTTTGAACGTTCTAGATCAATTTTAATAGTCCCTTGCTTTCTTCGAAAGGCGGGGGACAAAAAAATGCTGAGATAGGCCTATACTGATGTATTTGTTTTTAGCTAAGATTGGATGCCTTTAGTTCCAAGTGGCAAACTCAATTTCTTTATTAATGCATGTAACATCTTTAAAATAAGATAAGTTTATGCTATTATGATTAATTAAACTTACAGAGGCCAATTTAGTGGCACAACTATCATAACTCCAAATATTCACATTTAAATTAATGAAGCGTTGTTTTTGTCTGACATTCACTGCTATCAAAATCCATTCATAGTTACAGTGCTTTAGATTGCCCTTTTGATTGGCTGTTATAAAAGCCTTATATTTAGCCCCGCCTTCATGATGGCAGCGTATCGTTTAAAAAGATGGCAGTCTTCCTCTTAGTAACAGCTTAACGCCTCGATTTTAAAAACGAGACGATTGTACCCGTTTCAGGTAGGATTATATGCTTAATTGTACATGTAGTTGGGTGTGGCAGAAATATTATAAATAACAATAATCAATCATTGTTTTGATTAAAAATATTGTCAATTTTGTTTACAAATGCCGGGTGCGAATTGCTCCTGCATTTGTTATGTTGAGAGATGAGATTTGTTATCTAGGTTTCTTACCAGCCAGGCCCTCAGTCCTGCACCACTGACAAAAATAAACCGCCTGTAAAATAACCACTGGAAACTTACTCAGCCCATGGACCTCGGCTGCTGGTACTAGTGCCAGTGTGAGTGTGGCAGTAGTGGTTAGTGAGCCAGTGGCAGCGTACAAGTCGCAAATGTTCTACAGACTTAGTACTTTGAAAAAAGTCTGCCGAGAGACTAAAATTACCCCATTTATCTTGTGCAGCCTTAGATAATTTCGGTCTCATACTCATCAGTCTTTCTGAATATAAATGCGCATACTGTCGACTAAACGATCGGCCTTTTAATTTGAAGCGATCGTTGTGTTCTTGATAATCACTTGACGGCCGACAGAAAACATGATTGTCAGCCTCTTCTGACTGGTCAGTAATAAAATCACCAACGCCATCGGGATCTGGCTTGTCTGAATATATCATATTAACAATCAACATCAACAATTAATAAAATGCATCTATTTCTGGCCAGTTTATGTTTTCTTTCTATTTCTTTCCCGCCATTGGAACTCTTTTCCGTGTAAAGATCATAAAAGTGTGTCATGGTGCTCGCTGGGAGAACAATGCAATCGGAACACTTTGGCGTATTCTAAAAGCTGGATTTTAAGCCATTTGCGATTTTCAAATGCCACAGAAAAAGACAAATAGAGATCACGAATCGTGTATTCAGTATTATGAGCATCACTGATAAAAATATCAAAATATTTGATGTTTATAATTTTAAAAAAGAGCCCGGCGTTTCCGAATGGGGAAATAACTCGCGTTGAATTTGAGATAGTCTCTTTCATGCAGGTCCCACTGTATTACTGAAAGACTGGATTGTCGAGACTAAATATTTGAATTCATCATTTGCGGGACAAACAAATACTCAATTGAGAAAGGGAATTAGATTTAAATAACTGCATGAAACAGATAAATCCAAACCATAGAAACAATGAGTAGTGCACGTAAAGACGATGTTGAAATTCCCGATATCGTTATCGACCCAGCGACAGGAAAAAGATACATGAAAGGGCGGTATCTTGGAAAGGGAGGATTTGCAAAATGCTACGAATTGACGGATTTGGACACAAAAGTTATATTTGCGGGAAAAGTTGTTCCCAAAACCTTATTAGTAAAGCAGCACCAAAAAGATAAGATGGCCCAAGAAATCAGCATCCATCGAAGTTTAAATCACAAACATGTTGTTCAATTTCAAAGCTTTTTTGAAGATTCTGCGAATGTCTACATTCTTTTGGAGTTGTGCAGGAGAAGAACTTTGATGGAGTTGCAGAAACGAAGAAAGTCTATAACAGAACCAGAAACTAGATATTTTGTGAGACAGACCATTGAAGCTTGTCAGTATCTTCATAATATAAATGTTATACACCGAGATTTGAAACTTGGTAATCTATTTCTGAATGATGATTTGGAGGTAAAAATTGGTGATTTCGGATTGGCAACAAAATTAGAATATGATGGCGAAAGAAAGAGAACTTTGTGTGGCACACCAAATTATATAGCCCCAGAGGTTTTGGGAAAAGTTGGTCATAGTTATGAAGTTGACATCTGGTCTTTGGGTTGTATTGTCTACACATTATTAGTTGGACGTCCTCCATTTGAAACATCCTGCTTGAAAGACACCTATCTGCGGATCAAACACAACAGATACCATGTGCCTTCCAAACTTAGTATACCTGCAAAAAATCTCATCAACAAGATGCTGAAGGGCAATCCAAGTGAAAGACCAAACATAGTGCAACTTTTGGATGAGGAATTTTTCACCTCAGGTTATCTCCCTTCTCGCCTACCAACCAGTTGTTTAACCATGGCGCCTAGATTTGATACCATTGCTCGATCTGAGGGACTTTCTCGTAAACCACTTACAGACATCAATAGCATAGAATCTCGGCCTGTAAGTACTTCAGATCCTAAGAAAGACCAAGAGAAGAAAGATCCTGGAGAATCAACAGAGAAATCTGAAGCACTAAGAAAAACTGATGAACCTCTTGACTACTGGTTATCTGATCTGTACACACAACTATCTACAGCTGTTGCTTCGAAACCAAGTGAAAGGCCGAATATTGTAGATGATGATGCTGAGGATCCAGCAGCTATGCCTATTTATTGGGTGTCGAAATGGGTAGATTATTCAGATAAATACGGCCTTGGTTACCAGCTCTGCGATAATAGTGTAGGAGTGCTTTTCAACGATTCATCAAGACTCATCCTACTGGCCAACGGAGAAAATGTACATTATATTGAAAGAGATGGAACAGAACATTACCATACCCTGAAAGTTTTCCCAGAAAGCTTAACCAAGAAAGTAACTCTACTAAAATATTTCCGTAATTACATGAATGAACATCTTCTGAAGGCCGGGGCCAATATGGTACCAAGAGATTCTGATGAGATGGTCAGGTTACCATACCTTAGAACCTGGACACGCACAAGAAGTGCTATTGTATTGCATTTAAGTAATGGCACCCTTCAGATAAACTTTTTTCAAGATCATACAAAAGTTATTTTATGTCCGTTGATGGGAGCCGTTACCTACATAGATGAGAAGCGTGATTTTCGCTGCTATCGTTTCAGTCTTGTTGAAAAGTTTGGTTGTTCTAAAGAAATATCCAGTCGGTTGCGATATGCTCGTTCTATGGTTGAGAGACTAATGACTTCCAAATCGGGCTCTGGTCGAATAAAATCGGCATCTTAAACTCTAAATTCATCACTTTAAATTATATAATTTCAATTACATGTATATTAACTGTTGGCTTTGTAAACATGAAATATGTAATTAAATTGTTACATGTATGTACTATGGACCAGGTCATTTTCTGACACATTCACCCATTTCAATAACAAAGAAATAAAGATTAATAGAAAAGGTTTCTTTTTTGAATTTTCCATTAAAAGAGATATAACTGCTTATAATTTTGTCCAAATCTATGAACAAATCCATTGATTATTTTATTGAATATACATCATTTGATCAACATATATAAATGTACCTGTACAAGGAATAAAATTTGAAATGTTTGAAAATTATTTAAATTAAAAAGCTCAGAAAATTGTAGACAGGGATTGATTTTGTAATATATCAATCCATAAAGAATTACTTTACTTTCAATAGAATGAAATAATTTATGAACAGACAGAATAAATTCAATTTTGAGTTATAAAATGATCCAAGTTTAAAGGACCTTGATAAAATGGCAAGATAAAGATCATAACAGACCAAAATAAAACCTTGTTGATGGAAATGGCTTTTTTCACCATTTCATAATCTTCTTTAGAATGTGACAAGTTAAAGTATAAAGATGTTGGTAACCCCAAAGACAGGGTTCCTATTTAGAACTTGCAAAAACATCCTACAAGTTTGAAAAAATAAGTCTAAAAAACTTGGGAATTTTTTAGGTTTACCAGGCTCAACTAACCACAAAGGTCCGAATGTTGGCTACAAAAGTCGCATTGATGCTTCCACTCTGGTTTCTCCTTGCCATGATGTACGGATGGCGTAAAAAAAAAAAAGGAAGGTTCCGTGTACACCACTGGCATCATTAAAAAAATCCCTCGAAATTTAGAAATGGAAATAAGAGTAGGCTATAGCACTGCTGTCAAGGCAAACCCTGCCGCACAACACACCGCATTTCTGTTTTAATTATCGTACTTGATGCAAAAAAGTATGATGGCAAACCCCATTTCTTTGTGAAATATATTTCACAATTGCATAAAATTTGTAATATAATTAATTACTTCAAAATGTTCCATTATTCACTACATGTCCATTACTTCAACAAACTATAATTATCGGTACTTTTCATTACAATTACCCAAATTTACTGCCAATATACAGGGGACTGGTTTTCTTTGGGTTGCGGGGGCGGGATTGCCGAATAGTTAGCATGTGCGTGCACGCTGTATCATAAGGTCTATCATTGAGTCAAATGGCGTGGTTTCGATTCCCTGGTTGTATGTGACAAGGAGTAGGGTCGCCTGTCCAACCTCGTAGGTTTTCTCTGGGTCCTCCGCTTTCCTCCCACTGCTGAAGCCCCTATGCGCAAGCGAATTATTGAAATAAAATTGAACCATGTGTTCGTCCCAAAATGACCTAGTTTGTGTCGAGTGGACGTTAAACCCCATTTCTTTTTTTTTTCTTTTTTTTAGTAACGTGTAGTGAGACGGTCATAGCAAGGGCCGGTGGGAACCATAGGTCGCAAGAAAACCATCTGGGGGCCTGGAAATTGTTTGAACCGCCTCAGCATTTCCAGGGTGTCAAGCACAATATTTTTGTGGGATCTTGCTGTTCTATTACTAACTGTTAGTAGAACCATCCTTTGCCTATGGAGGTCTAGGGTGAGATAAAATTTTAGCCGATTTTAGCCTGAAATTTTCTACAATTGTTTCCCATTGATAAGTAAGTTTCCTAAGGATTAAAGGAACCTAATATTTACAATTCTCTTTGTCAATAAGCCTTCTAGAGTTCCCATCCCCCCCCCCCCCCCCACAAATGTTTTTTTGTTGTTGTTTTGATACCTTTTTATACGCCCACAGACTAAATTTATCATCTGACTGTTTTGATGATATTTATAGTTTACATCAGTAAGATGAAGAGGCCTATTTAATTTCAATAATTTTCGTTCATTTCTTCTGGTGTCATGGCCCTTGTTCCTTGTTTTACTTCTTTGAACCTTGTGAACGCTCTAATGACAAAAGTTATTTTCCGATCTGTATGAAATTTATAGCCTATGCATAGTTTAAATTAGTGACTTCAGGATTTATGTCCCTTGTATCACTTTGCTGAACCTTGTGAATATTCAAAAGTTATCAACCGATCTGCATGAAATTTATATGCATCACTTAAATTAGTGAAACGATGAACCCCGACTGAATTTCGGCAATTTCCGTTAATTTCTTCTGGAGTTATGGCCTTTGTTTTACTTTGTTGGACTTTGTGAAATCTCTCTCAACAAAAGTTATCAACTGATCTGTATGAAATTTATATGCATCATTTAAATCAGTGCAATGAAGAAGCTGAGTGAATTTCAGTAATTTCCATTAATAACTACTATAAGTTATGGCTCTTGTTTCACTTTATTGGACGTTGTAAATGCTCCAGCAACAAAAAGATATCACTCGATCGGTGTGAAATTTATATGCATTACTTAAATTTGTGAAACTAAAGAAGCCTATTGAATTTTAGCAATTTCCATCTATTACTGCTAGAGTTATGGCCCTTGATTTACTTTGTTGAATCTTGGGAAGATTCGAATGACAAAAGTTATCAGCTGATCTGTATGAAATTCATATGCATTATTTAAATTAGTAAAATTAAAAAGCCTGTCAAATTTCAACAATTTCTGTAAATTATTTCCAGAGTTAAGGTCCTTATTTCAGTTTGTAGACCCCTTTTAATCCATCAATGAATATTATAATCTGATCTGTATGAAATTGTCTTGTTTGCTATAAAAGTTGCTTAAGGGGAGGCAAGGGTCGACAAATGTCAATTTTGACTCAAATTATCAATTTTTTATATTTGCATATTTGTGATGTTCATTCATTTTTATTTCACTTGTAATTAAAGAAAATACATATAAAGTGGTTTATGATAGAAAAAATGCACTTTTGAACACTCTTGCAATTCAAATTTTGCTGTTTTACCTCTTTATGTCTTAATTTCTCAAAAAGTAAAATATCAACAGTCGACAACCTTACAAAAAATCATTCTTGAAAAGTTTACAACAGATATGTCTGAAGGATTTTCAGTACTCTAAATGAATTTTTAGTGTAGTAAATTGGCATTTGAAATCTCGCATTGAAAACAACATTTTTCATAATTTTTGTTTTGTTGAATAGAAGGACATGCAAGGACACAATAACAACACCATATTGATAATTGCACAGAGAAATGTCCTAGGAACATTTTAAAAAAAGTTCTCCAGGCTTCTACCTTTGATACTTTCAGAGAACGATTTTTTTTAAGCAGTAAAAATGATTTTTTTTGTTTCCATGGTAACCAGTAAAGCAGATTCCCCCAAAACTGCCGATTAGCCTTGAAAATTTCAAGTTGATAGCATTATTAGAAGCCAGTTATTTTAAAATTCATATTTGTCGAGCAGTGCCTCCCCTTAATACTTCCCACTGACAACTCATATTTGGTGGCTTTGGCGTCCACTGGAAAACATTGGAAATAACCATATATTTATCATTCTATGGTCAATAACATCTTAGCACCTCTGGTGAAAAATAAAACTAGTACAATTTTTGCTCCTTCAACCACACCACTGCATAATTATACAGAATGTAACAGTTTGTTCTTGCTGATTACAAACAAGAATACAAAAAAAGCCTGGAATTGTGATTTTCATAAATCTTTGTTTCCTGGTTTTTCTCACACATGCATATTGATGACTATTAGTCAAGGACCTCCTGAAAATACTTTTATATAAAAAAAAAATTCAAATAAATTTTCATTCTTGGTATTTTTATTGAAAATGTAAGTGGATACAGTAATCAAAAATATCAAAGTTACATAAGGCAGAAAATGTCACTGGATTGTATAGCAAGAATGATTTAATTTAAGGATTTTTTTTTTTTAGAAAATTTTCCAAATACTAACCGAGTTTATACATTTGTCATATTAATAATAAAGAAAATAGATTTGTTTGACACTACCATTCTGGAGTGTGAACATTGCTTGTCAAAGTAGATAACACCTAAAAATACCCAAATAAAACTACTAAGTAAATGATTTTGATTACCCTGAATCAATATATAGAGAAAACAATTATCCAGTACCTACATTTCAGATAAACAGAGTTCAATAGTAACATATATGCTGATTTAAGAATACTGCATTAAAAGAGTTTTACTTTTGGTTTATAATATTGCCAATGGTACCTGAACATAAAGCTAAGTAGTACACCAAAAGAAAGTAACTGTTTTTAGATGTTGTGTATTTAACAATAACTACATAGAAAATAACTAATTGTAAGTGGACTTTTTATGTTTTTATATAGTACAGCACAGATGGTTATTTATATGAAATTTTTGCTAAATTCACTTTTCTACAACTATCTATCCTGGTATCTTTATAAAATTTCAAATTAACAAAAATAAAATAAATCCAAATAAACAAGCTTTATACCTTTCAGATAAATTTGTCAAAATACATTAAATGCACAACCAAAAATTATGATGATCTTGCACTTCATATTATATATATATTTTACACCTGGCCTAGCCAACTTGAGCTATTCACTTTATAGAGACAGCATTCTAAACTCTATAAAACTGTTACAGATCAATTATTACCAATATCTCTACAAAAATCTAAAGGCAAATCACCATAGTCTCAAACAATGTTTTGTTTTAATATTTTGCATACAACCTAGCTAAATTTAAAGTGCTTGTAGCCCCCCATTGCTTGACACCCGTTGTATATAATATCTCTGACTTATGTCAATCTCAAGAAAATCATTTTTACAATTCCTGATAAACAGCTTGCCAGAAATATTCTAAGAATTGTGATGTCAAAAAGTTGTAATTACTATGGTCTTCTGTAGTGTCAATCTTCTTGTATTCTTGCATAAAAGAAGAATATGTCATCAGTGGCTGGGACTACTGGGACTTTAAATTTCTGGTTATATATGACAGCAATTGGAATTCATGAATTATTAATCAGCAGTAATGAAATCTAAGTCTGGATTTAAGGTAAAGCTTCAACATTAATTCTTCAATTAAAACATATTATAAATCTTTTTAACTTATTAAGGACAATGTCCACGGAACTAAAACCACAATGGTAACTTCATGATACAAATATTCACTAATGCGGTAATCATTAAAATATCACCATCAAGAATAAAATGTTTGATTTTTTTTGTTCTCTTTAACTGGCGAAATATGACGCCATGATCTAGATGTTTTTGCAACACAATATTTATTCACACTGTGCTCCGTCTTGGCATAACTTAGTAACGAGCTACTGTGCAATTTTTGGGCCATAAGTAGTACCGTAATGGCATGTTACTGACGATTTCATGCTGTCACAAATGTTGGACATTAACCAGTCAAACTGACATTCATAAAACTACCATGTTGTCATGATACCTGGTGGAAACTGTCCATAACTCTAGTAGGATTCCTACCATGCAGTCTTACCTTAATCTGTCTCTATCTAATACTATATCTACTGTTTTAATATAAAATGTTATTTACAATGCTAATATACATGATGTTTATAGTACAGGAGTATAATATATATATATCATTCACTAAGCATTATTTACATATATTTTCATAGTTATAATTGCAGCACACAGTATGTTGTTATTTTGATGCCTGCAGCCTTCTGGACTTTTTTTTATTGGCTTTAACATAGAATGAGCAGCAACTAAGACATATGTTTTCTGTCTGAGGTTTACTGCAATTTCTCTGCAATTAAAAAGTGAGCTGACAGCATAAAATCCCATACTGCATGCCGACTTAAAAGTTCCTCATTTTCAAAAAAAAAAGCTATTGTCATTCATTTACAAAATACACAAAAGCTATTGTGACACTAACCGAAGATGAATATCATTATGAAATATCCTGAATGCATGTTAAATATTTAAGAGTCACTTCTTTTTGACAGCCCTTGTCGGCAATATCACTAGGAAGTGCACTTTAAGCTATTTCACACACACATATTGACAGCCCTATTCAAATATTACGATTGAGGGCTGCTACCGATACTAACGAAAATGGACAGCTTTTATCTTGAATAACTAAAGGCGACATTTGTCTACTTAACTTGCTAGTCAAAATGTGTACTTGTCATTAAGCTAACTAGTACTCATGTGTTCATGACGTAATCAGGTTGAAAACAAAAGAAAGAAACTAAATTAGAACATCTTGAAAAATCTACTTCTACTCAATAAAAAATTGTCCTTTTTCAAATCTCATTTTAAAGAATACAGGCAGTGATTCAGATAAATAAGGATATACAATGAATACTTTTCACTACACTACAAAGTCTACAAATTGAAATACATGTAAATATATAATTTAATGTGCAAATACAGATGACTTGAAATTATGTAACAACCATAGGAAGCACACTGATTAGTTATATGTAAATGTTTCTGCCCTGTGTTTTTAACATAATATGAAATTCAAAACTGTTAAGTTAAACAAATAAATAAGTATGGTAAGCTACAATATCAATAACTTAATTTGATTGCACGAAAAGCAAACACCGATATGGATATATTCAAATTCTTTTCATAAGAGGTAATAGTATAAATAAATAATAATACATGCATACTTTTATATACCTATTTATATTTTAAATTTTAATTACTCCTAAATTAACAAATTTTGATACTGTCTCTACAGTTTACTATCTAGGAATGTAGAAGGGTGAGCAAGGATTGGATTGTATAGAAATTATTAATACAGTATAAAGTATCCTGATATTGCTGTTTCATAAATAAAATAACCCTTAAAATCTATTTTTTTTCCACTCATGATTTCAAATCTGAATCCTAAAATAAGTATTGAGAAAAACATAAACTAGCACTGTTTGATTAATGATGACAGTTATAATATCACAGTTTATGGCACACAGTATTTTCATAACTTCTCTATCATCAGGCTGTTGATTTGTTCAATCAAAATTGTTGTTTTATTATTCACCGTTTTTTAAATAATAAAGCAATTCTGAAAAAAAATCCAAAGATTATGCCAAAAATTATTACATTGACAATATTTGAAACTTGAAACAACTCATTACTTAAAATTTACACACTAACATTATGTATTGGTGGTACTACAAACTAAAGCTGATTTTGATCAATAATTCTTTCATTTTCTTGATACAACTTCAAACTAAAAGATGAATTACTTATTATAAAAACCAATGAAATGAAAATAAAATTTCAGGGGTTAAATATAATTGAGGTTAGACAACTAGTACTGACGTACACATTATATTTGACTAACATCCAGTACAGATCATTAGTGGTTTAACAGTAATAATAATATCAATATACAGTGTATGTACAATATAGTACAGTAACTAACATTATTTACAAATTAACTACATAAAAAGCATTCTGTAAAATAGTATTTCTCTTTTTCATCTATGAAATATTAACGATGTATACTGCAAACATACAACTCCAGTCTAGAAATATTGATTTTATAAAGTCTATTTTATTTAAGTGTTACTTATGTAATTCGTTGAACGGACTCTTTCTACTTAAGTCAAGATAAAGGGTTGAATTGGGTTGATCTGACATGTTATTTTAATCACATATGAAACTCTAATGGGATCAAAGCTGGGCCCTGTTTCACAAAAATTTAAATCTCCTTAAAATCATCTTAAACTAAAATTTCATCCTATCTTAAGATAGGTGAGTTTCACAAAACGAGTTTAAGCATTTCAACTAAAATCCATTAAAAAAATATTTTAAGTTAAAATTTTTATCTTAACTTAAAATAGTAGGGTTTCAAAAAACTTTTTAGGGACAATTTTAACTAAAATTAATTTTAATTTTGGACAGTCGTCTCTCCCTCTCCTATCTTAAAATCACGGCATAAACAAACAATGATTAGTGCTTACTTGTTAAATCTATTACGACAGATATATCTATTTGGAGTAATAGTAATACTCCTGCCAATGATTCAAGATGTCTGTTATTAATGATTCAAGTATAAAAAGTACTATTTTTAAACAATTAACAGACAAAAATGGCCAATTTCTATGTAATAGAAGGCCCAAAACCCTCAACACAAGACATGCCGTATGCAAAGTATTCACTCTTGTGTGGTTTTTGTCTCAAGATTATTTGTAAGAAAAATAAATCAATATGCTCAAATCTGATTACTGAAAAATGTTACTGGCCTAGGCCTATTTGAAATTCATTTTAGTATCTTTAATTATTTATTTTTATAAATGAATGCCTTCATTTCTTTAGACCTGAAATGTTATATAAACTATTAGTTAGACATTTATTAACATGAAAAGACAATAATCAACTCTCGATGCCATCTTATCTGTCCGATTTTCATTGGATTTGAATCCGATCTGCTGTTTAACGTCTGTTGATGATTAAACGCAAAAATGGATAATCGAGACTTTGCTAATTATCGTGACAGTGCTAACAATGACAATCGAGGCTACAGACATTTTAAAATAATGTTTTCTCAGCTTAGAGCGAATCAATTTGACTGAAATTTTCAGCATATTCCCTTTACATCATCTAATTTTTAATTATCATAGTGAGAACTATCTAATCTTGCATAATGTATCTTTAATTACACATTCATTAACATGACAAGACCATAATCAAGCCTCAATGCCATCTGATGCTTCCAATTTTCAATAGATTTGAATGCAAAAAGGTACATGTATAATCAAGACTTTTTTATTTTCAAAGAACTGCAACAATGACAATCAAGGCTAAAAGGTTTTTAAAATGAGTATTTCTTGGCTTAGACTGAAGTAATTTGACTGAAATTTTCAGAGTATTCCTGTTACATTATCTATTATTTAACTATTATAGTGAGAACTGTCAGCTCTTAATCTAATCTTCCATAATGTATTTTTAAGTCTTTGTGAAACAGGGCCCAGAATTATTAACAGAAAGTCATTTATATTAACACTTGCACATAAAGCTTGTTCCCCTTTTCATGCCTCTGGTACTAATAACATATTATTTGGAAACACTTCATCAAATTATAGGAGTACCGGTACTATCAGATATGGAATTGAAATGGTCATAAGTTTGGCAATATCCTATAGTATCTATGCTGAACTAAAGCAGTTAATATATATTTTGAGTATTCAGAAACTGTACATCTATTTAGTTCTTTACTAATAAAGTATATTGTGAACTGTAACAAATGCTGATGTGTATCAGGAAAATTAACGAACAAGGAAAATAATGAACTTTATCTTCATTTCTCTTATTCTATTATCAATTTGCATACACTATTATTTTTTCTTGAAATATTAGCAGGGCCTACTGTTCAAAAACCAATATTAATCCAGTCACCTTTATAATTCACTTTATGGCACCTTGCACAGATTTCCTTAATACGCAGTTTACATCAAATAGGTTTATAAACTAGAAAAGGCACCGCTATTTTTACTTTTCTACAGATTTAAAAGAAGTAAAGATAAAATATGATAAATGCCTTAATAAAAGACTAGAAAAGAGAAATATGTCATGATAATAATATTAATATTTCCTAAGATGAGATCTTCATGCCTTGTGATTGCACTGACCCACCACGATTAAAACGTCTCATTCTGAAAAACACAATATAATAAACTGTAAATTATTATTTTTATCCATTAATCTGGCTTAGGCTAATCCCATCAAATCATTAAATCTGACTGGAGATATCTTAGTAACCAGCTATGGTATAACAGTATATTCTGTGTGTGTGTTTATACTTATATTATTATCATTGGCTTACATAACTTACAATGTGTTTGTAATTAGATTATTGGTAATACCATTCATGTAAATATTTATGTTCAATTATTCATTGAGCTGGATCAAAACAAGTTGTATGAAATATCCATTGTTCATTTTGAAAATAACAAAAATTCCATAAATATGATCATGCACATTGATTATCTGTTATACAGGTACATATTTGGTAATAATCATAAACAGTCTACTACTATACTATTCTAAGTGCATATTATATATAAATAAGTGAAAGCAATTTCAAAATAAAGTACATGTAGACTTGAAAAAAATGTATCATTCAAATAAGACTAGAAAAAGCTAATCAAAGAAATTATTTTTTTTCAATGATTGTCATGCATCTCCATGCCTTAAAAAGTGGATACTAGGCTAATAGGACTAGATTGTCTTTTCCCACATAGGCACAGCACTGATTATTAGATTACTCTATCTAAAGAGGTATATTTTCATATTAATATGATACAAGACTATTAAGAAACAATACTAAATGCAAAATAAGCAATAATTTATATACCTAAGTATGTGTTTTTGTTTCTAATCTAAATGGTTTTCTAAAATTAAGTTTCCACGCCACAGACAATACCCCTGCAGCAGTTTAGACGACTGAGTAATCGATCAATCATTCGTTCATTTGTGGGGCTTAATCTCCATATTCACCAAGGATGATATCATAGACAAGTATTTCCCAAGAAACTTGCAAGATAAATAGTTTAAAATGGGGTTTAATGTCCACTTGACAGAAACCAGGTCATTTCGAAACTAACATGATATGGGTTAATTATATTTCAATAATTTGCATATGGGAGGAAACAGGAGGATCCAAAGGAAACCATGATGTTTGACAGGCGACCCTACTCCTTGTCACGTACAAGCGAAGTATTGAAACCTCTCCACTTGACTGTATGACCGACCTTATGATCTAACATGAACATGTTAAATAAACCCCCAAAACTTGCAAGAAGTACCAGTTGTAGATCAGATGTTCGTCTACCCTAGGTTGGAGATAGTTGAGCGATTAAATAAAATTTTTACTGCCTCCATTTCCTTGATTAAAGGCGAGCTGTCTAAAGGTTGTCACCTTTTCATTCATTCAAAGGTAATTGAAGCACTTACTTATCAGAAATAATTAAAATTTGATAAGCATACACTGGTAGTTCTTCCCAAGACTAACATACACACAAAATGTGACGTTAGTGATAATTTTAGCTGTTAAAAGTTATTGGATATTGTAGAAACTCAGTAGGCGTTTTTGTCTTTATGAACATTAACATTGTGCTTAAAAGTCAATCATGAGTGTCCAAAAGCAATTACAGACAACGGACAGTAAAAGGTGACGACAATATAGAACCACATTTCAATGTGGGTGTATAAAAACACAAACATCAACATTGGCTCACTATATTAAAATGGAATAGACACTGGTTAAGCTGAAAATAAGATATGCTCTAGAGTAAATATAAAACATTCAGCCAGTGTTAAAAATACAACATCATAATGAGGTTCAAGAAATTCTGTCTAGATTTTTTGAAGGAATATGTAGAAACTAGAATACCTTATCACCAAATGAGTAAAGATTGATAAAATTGGAAATTTCTCAAATACAAAATACAAACTAAAAGGGAGAGAAAAAACCCAACTATTTAGATATTTATCAAACAAAATTAAGAACTTGAAGGGAAAAGAGTCTCTCAATATTTGATAATTTAATACCTTAGTAGGCTTGTGATATTGAAAATATTTGATCAGAATTTCACTGAACCCCCATGATAAGACCAGCGAGCACAGTTAACATGCTTCTGACTATGGCACCTTGCAGCAGACCTATATCCTCGAGAAGTGTCAGACCTGAGAAAATTGATGAAGAAATCAGCATCTTCAATTGATTACATTTTACCTTGGTAAGAGAAAAGATTACAGTAGAGTCCTGGGCTACAATAAAATGATATATACCTACAGCTACATGTAAAGTTGTAATGATAATGAAGATGATAATGATGATGATGATGATGACAACGATGACAAAAGCAGTTAAGTCATAGCAATATTGAATGCCAAAAAATCAATATAAAATCAGACATTATGATGACAACTCCAATACTTACAAATTCTAAATATTAAAGATTATAAACACAATAGCAGCACTCAGTACAAGGTGCTTTATGATACTATTTGTAAGATGTAATCACTGTTTGTAAGATAAAAATTTTACCTAGGAGAATCTAATGGACTGCCAGGTGCAGGTTTACCACTACGAGGTGGATCTTTTACATATTTTCTACAAGATGCCAGTTTGGATTCTAAGGCCTGAAATAACAAGAAATGTTGAAATATTTTAGTTAATTTTAAATTTTACGACAAACAGTTGAGATTCTATTTCTGGACATAAAGAAAAAATGATACAAAAAAGGAAGACACGTCTAACTAAAATACAACACACACTGTCTGCTGTTATGGTTTCTACAAAGTTTTTACAACTAGTGAAAATCTGAATCCTACACAATAATGATGTTGCCAATTATGTATAGTAATACTGAATATAGTAATGCATGTATTTTTCTTTAGGAAATGAATTTTATGCTAGCCTGCATTCTTGAAATTTACAAATACAATGTTCATTTACATCAATAATTTTAAAAACTACTATACTCAATACAATAAAATATTTAAATACTTGTAGAAATTGATATGTAGCTATCAAAATTACTTACTCCTACTTTTCGTAATAAATCACCAACAATATTCAAAGCAGATATACGTGCAGATGGTGTAAGTGGCTGGGGTAGATTCCCATTTATACCTGGAAGACCTGCAATAGAAATAATTTATATTAAGGCCATACAAACCAGCGGCTGCCAGGCAGAATACGGCCACATTTTCGAGAGATGGATAGAGAACAAGCTAAAAAGAAAGTGATTTTTCCTACAATCAAGGGTCATAATTCAGGAAATTACAATTCGATATGCGCAAATATCGAAAGGAACCGAGATCATTGTGTTATAAACTTACATTTCAAGTTTCAACAAAATCGGATAAAAATTGTGACCTCTATAGGGTCCACAGCCTTGATATACCATATTTTTACGCTATTTGAGAACGAAGGGTGGCCATTTTGTCTGTCAGTTTTTGGACCAATTTTCACGAAATTCGAACTCAGCTGTCCTTAGGGTGTAACGGTGATATAATAATACGTTTTTTTAAATCGGATAAAAATTATGACCTCTATAGGGTCCACAAGCTAAAAACGTGATTTTTCGTACAATCAGGGGCCATAATTAAGGAAGTTACGATCCGATATGCGCAAATATCGAAAGGAACCGAGATCTTTGGGTTATAAACTTACATTTCAGGTTTCATCAAAATCGGATAAAAATTGTGACCTCTATAGGGTCCACAACCTTGATATACAATATTTTTACGTTATTTGAGAACGAACGGCGGCCATTTTGTCTGTCAATTTTGGGCCGATTTTCACGAAATTCGAACTCAGGCTTCCTTAGGGTGTAGCGGTGATATAATCATAGGTTTTTTTAAATCGGATAAAAATTATGACCTCTATACGGTCCACAAGCTAAAAACGCGATTTTTCGTACAATCAGGGGCCTTAATTCAGGAAGTTACGGTCCGATATGCGCGAATATCGAAAGGAACCGAGATCTTTGGGTTATAAACTTACATTTCAGGTTTCATCAAAATCGGATAAAAATTGTGACCTCTATAGGGTCCACAACCTTGATATACAAATATTTTTACGCTATTTGAGAACGAACGGCGGCCATTTCGTCCGTCAATTTTGGGCCGATTTTCACGAAATTCGAACTCCAGCTTCCTTAGGGTGTAACGGTGATATAATAATATGTTTTTTTAAATCGGATAAAAATTATGACCTCTATAGGGTCCACAAGCTAAAAACGCGATTTTTCGTACAATCAGGGGCCATAATTCAGGAAGTTATGGTCCGATATGCGCAAATATCGAAAGGAACCGAGATCTTTTGGGGATAAACCTATATTTCAAGTTTTGTCAAAATCGGATAAGAATTGTGACCGGACGGACAGGGGCGACGGTATAATACGTCCACATGAAAATATGGGCGTATAAAAACAATATTAATGTCCTACTGTTGTGCTCCGACTGGGCTAATGAAGACAGGCATATGCCACCATATAGTGTGCTCTGAGGGAAATTTTGCCCGGACAGCAGTGCTATGGCCTACTCTTATATCGAGTTTCACCTGAAAGGGATCTTTTATTTCCAACCAGAATATTATTTTTGTATGGCCTTATATATATGACAGTGGTTGGTTCTGTTAATTTGTTAAAGATGTAACAATATGAGAGCAAACAATCATAAATGAACATTATATCTAATGGCCAATGAGATGATTTGCTTATGATTTGCAATACCAAAATGAAATGCTATCTATCAAACTACAATTAGACCTTTAAAGAAAATAAATAAATAAGAAATTCTATTTGTAGAGCATTTGAAGCAAATGAAATGAACATTTTTTTTGGCAATCAAAATGTTTATGATGAGATTATTTTTGATAGTAGCCAGTTTCAGTTTGCCAAGAAAGAGGAGAGGAACCACAGCGAATTCGTAGATTAAGTTTATCAAACACAGCAAGATTGTTTCTAAATTATGTCTGTTTCTAAATTATGTCACAGCTCATTACTAAAACGATGTAGGGATATAACTGAGTACATCTAATATAATAAGAAATTAGATTTGCGTAAAGGATCCTGTTAAAGACTTCTTTGAGTGCAGTAGTACCTCTCCCCTGTAATGAGGTGGGTGTGGTGGGAGTTGTTGGTGTAGCGGGATCACTGTGAACTACTTTCGAACTGTACCCACTATCAGCCAGTTTTTCCTGAGGTGTGTCGACTCCAGCTTCTGGACTCTTTATTACTTCACGTACATGGAGTTCCTGTTTTAAATCTGTAGTAAAAATTAGAAATAAATCGTAAGTCACAATAAAATACTAAAATACAAACACACAGTTATTAAACTAACACTTTTTCAACTATTTAGTTACATTGAGGTTCCAAACCATCAAACTGCACTTTAAAAGTAAGTTTTATGCTTTCCAGCAACAAGCCTATTTTTATTTCTCGACGAATTTTGGAGGGTAACAGCTAACATATTAGACAAAGAGAAATCTGTATCTCAAGCAGTTTATAATCAGTCGCACCATGTCCTAATTCATTAGACAGGAAAGTATAATGATATTCTATAGCAATTACAAAATGCTATCTGAAATGTTATATGTTTATCAATAATTCATTGAGTTGTAATTAAGCTTTGCAAATATGGAATGTGGTTTACGTTAATTATTTATAAGGCAGAAAGATTTATATCAAAGAAGAAATCATGCATCAGTCTTGGTTTATCTAGTGTCACGAGTCACATACATTAGAGAATAAATGTATGATACATAAGCTTGTCGACATATATTATCGGTTGAAGTAAACCGTAAAAGTTGCAAACAGTAAAGAGAGAGAGAGAGAGAGAAATGGGGTTTAACGTCCACCCGACACAAACTAGGTCATTTCGGGACTAACATATGATTTAATTTTATTTACATAATTCACTTGCGCGTAGGGGTCTTTAGCAGTGGGAGGAAACTGGAGGACCCGGAGAAAACCCACGAGGTTGGACAGGCGACCCTACTCCTTGCCACGTACAACCGGGGATTCGAAACCACGCTAGTCGACTCAATGACAGACTTTATGATACAGCGCGCGCACGCTAACCATTCAGCCATCCAACCCCCCTGCAAACAGTAGACTGCCGATAAGACTATGTAGTCCTAAAAAGTGGGTCATAGCTCTTTTGTCCGTAGTGTCTGATAATCTTCCAATATTTAAATGTATAAGCTTACTCACAATCTTTCATCAAAGTTAAGGGGGGTGGGGGTGGATGGAAGGCCGAATGGCTAGCGCATGCGTGCTGTATTATACAGCCTGTCATTGAGTAAGCTGGCATGGTTTTGTTTCCCCGGATGTACGTGACAAGGAGTAGGGCCGCCTGTCCATCCTCATGTGTTTTCCTCCGGGTCCTCCAACTGCTGAAGACCCATTGAAATAAATTGAACCATGTATTAGTCCCGAAATGACCTAGTTTGTGTTGAGCGAACATTAAACCTCCCCTCTCTCTCTCTCACCTCTCTCATCAAAATTAGCTATCTCTCAAATTGGGCATGGGTTTAATGCAGTACATATATGCTTTTGTTCAAATTGTCATATAATTTGCTCTCAAATGGAAATACACTTGATAGCTCTATCAAGATTTGTCCACATGAAATATATTTTACTCTGCAGTCAAGAAAACAACAATGTAAAAGGTTGAAATACTGAAAATTGACTTCATTTACCTCTGGCTTCATCACGCAATCTTTGCACAGTTTCTGCTAATGTTTCTTTCTCATCTAATTCACTTTCTAAAAATGCATTTCTTTCTATTGCCTGTTAAAATAAATCATATTTTTAAAAGACTTTCAATTTAAAGTCAATAATAATAAAGTAAAAGGGTTTGCATCATAATATATTTCAACATAATTGACATATAGCTGACCAAATAAATCACTTAAATTTCTATTACTCTTTATAATACCGATATAGAATTTATCAATAATAATTTAGAATGTTAAAAGTACTTACTTGATTAAGTCTTGCTTCAAAATCTTCTAATGACACAACTGTTGCTCTATAATATACAAGAAAATATAAGGAGTTAAATTTAAGACAAAAACAAGTGAGGGTGTTCTTAAAAAGAAATCACTCTATGTACCGACAATACTATATACCGGAAAACACCAAAAAACACTGGAAAACAACCGGAAAACACCATGTTATACCGAATACCGGAAAACACTAAATACTGGAAAATACCCTAAATAGGTAACCCGGAGCCTGGCACCCTAAATAGGTAACCCGGAGCCTGGTCCTCTGTGTGCCTGGGTTAGGGTTAGTTTCTGGTTTATAGTATAGCCCTTCTTTCGGGTTACCTATTTAGGGTGTTTTCCGATATTTAGTGTGTTTTCCAGTATTTAGTGTTTTTCCGGTGTTTTCCGGTATGCAGTATAACATGGTGTTTTCCGGTATATAGTATAGCCCCTATGTACTGAATAAGACAATTTTTCACTACACCAGGTATTAAAATTTCAAGCTACTACATACATTAGAAGGGCAATATAATAGTATTTATAAAAAGATAAGATATTCTCTTGATTGTCTGTGCTGTGTTAGGTTCTGTTTATCCGGATGACAGATATTACACAGTAATAATGCAAATAGAATCTTGATATACAAAATCAAACTTGGCAGACACATTTCATCTGCGGTGATTGGTCCAGAAATAAGCTTTTCTAAACATAACTTTGAGTAGATAAAATTGAAATATTTTTGGACATAATTGTATTTGGCAATCACCTACAAATAAACTTTTCTGGTTAAAATATTAAAATGAAAAAAAAGAATTGACATTTTACCTCTTAGATCTTTCTAAATCATCATTAGCTTGTTCAATTTCACGAATATATTTTTGAAAATTTTCTTTCATAACTCTAATCTGGTCTAGTTCATCCTCTAACTCACATATTCTTCTATGACTACCAGCTTGAAGAGATTCTAATTTATCCTATATAAAAATAAATTCATTTTCATTACAAAAATTAAATAGTCAGACAACATTTCAATCAAATTGTTTGGACTGGAGTCAGTTACACAATTCAGCAAGCTGGTCTTCTATTGGTATTAATGAGCCAACAATCACTTTGGAGATAGAACCCCATATACATGTATGTATATGAAATTTTATTATTGACTAAATTTTAATTGTAAATTAAATTTTTCCAATGAGAAATAAATGGGCCAAAATCTTATCAGATCTATCAATATTTTGATAGTAAGTATCTAACCACATTTAATGTTTTGAAATTAAAAAGTCTTTAGACTTAATTAAACTCTATGTTGATACTCCAGCATAACTAATAGAAAGTTTTGCACACATTTATCTGTAGCGGCATATAAACACATTATAAAATTATATAAGAGATAAGGTGGCTATGAAGACCTGGTTATCCCGAATGTCAGTGACTAGTTTTGTTCGTATTGAACTCTTAAACTCAATACGAATGAAACTAGTCACTGACATTCGGGATAACCAGGTCTTCATAGCCACCTTATCTCTTATATTATCTCACTCTCTGCAAATTCTGTTGACCAAATCAACGACAAATCTAAACTTGGGCACTCTAACCATTTTTATTTTTGTATCACATTATAAAATTACCCTTAAGGTTTCTGTTTCTTGCTTTAATCTAGAATTACTTGATTCAAGATCTGTATTCTTTTTTTCAAACTGTTTTAACTGTGTTTCCATCTCATCTTCTAATTCCTTACTACTGATCTGAAATTCTTCAAGTTCTTCTTTAGTTTCCTCAAGTCTGAAATAAATAAATTAAATTTTTGTTAAAACAAGTGCAAATACTGGAAAAAATATATTGCCTATCGTGATCTTTTAGAATTTTGCACAAATGTATACCAAAATTGAAACTTTCTGCAAGCAATTTGTGCTCAGCTTTTTCCAAATATCCCACTGTGTTCACTGATTTTTGATTCATTCAAGTTTAAAACACCCAAGTTAAGTGGGTCACTCCAAGCAGGGCTCACACTGTCGGTTGCCAAAGTCGCAATTTGCGATAAAAATATGTAAGTGGCGATTAAAATTTGATTTTGGCGATAAATTCTAATCGTATTTACCCTGGATTAACCATTATTAAGTGTCAATCACATGGCGGGATACTTTAAATTAATCAACTGGCTGATAATCCGATTCGCGTCATTGAGAAATACTAATCAGTTGTCTTGGATTAATGATTAGTTGATTGATAATTGCCAGTGATATATATAAAGCCTATCTAAAGTCATTATTTACTCCTAATGATTAATCCAAGCGGTGATTATTTGATGTTTCGTTTCGTCTTAAAAAGATTGGTAATACTTGTAATCAAAATGGTCGACAGTTCCTTTTGAAGAGAATTAATTATTTTGATCGCTGAATTCCGTTTACAGTGGTTTCATATACGGCATGTAAAATATACAAGTATGCATATTGGATATCATTTTTCAAATTATATTATTACCACTGGTCGAAAACGTAAGAACGAATTGAATAGTGACGATTCTTGAGCGAGAAAACAGTTCGCCATTTGTATCATAATTACAGTCACCAAAATGCTCTAAAAGTTAACGACGGGTATAATTGTAAGCATCTCTTACAAATATAATTGAAATTTATATCATTCTATCAGGGATTCAGATTCTGATACCTCTACGGTACCTGAAAATAACAATTTTACCCATTGCACAAGCAACACATAAATTTATAGAAAATTAATTGGCAATCCCTGGATGAGATTTGACGTGTAAATACTGAAAATATAATATGCAGTACACCAAAAATAAAATTTTATCTTATTAAATCCAAACTTTGCTAATCTATTATGTAGAGACAGATTTTTAAAGTTTTTGTAAATTGTATGGTATATATATAGGTAATTTTTTGGTAATAAGTCTAGCCGAGACATAACATTGTCAGATGTTGCCTTTTTTATCAAAGATTTTTGGCAGATAAAATATTCCAGTTGGTGGGAAAAAATATGAACATTTTTTTTATATAAAAATTATCATCAATTTTGGAGGAAAAAAATTGAAAGCCAGTGTGAGCCCTGACTCCAAGTATCCTGTTATCATCTCAAGTGTAAATGTTGAAGATTCTGTCAAATTGTCAAAAAGACGTGTTCTGACTATAAGAGCTTGACACTAACATTTTATGACAATATCATCTGCTTGAAAATGAAACAGGATTACATGAACGTAAAGTAAAAATTGCATAAAATTTGCTTTGTGTGATAAATAAATGGTGGGTGGTTGTGTATTCTGAGACAAGGAATTGGTTTGGAAGTTATTTACAGTGCTGATATCAGGAAAATTTTTATGCACCAAAGGCAAACATTGATAAAGTTGTCAGACACTAAAATCTGCTATCAGAATGAAAATTCCACAAATCTCTTAAATTCTGTAAATGTGTCAGTTTAGTATCCAAATTTTCTGTGAACAAAAATTTATGATAGACATTTGATAGGAGATTATGAGATAAGTTGGGAATGGGGTGGGAGATATGCCTATGGTCGTTCAGTGTGTAACTAGCATGTTTCCTTTGATCCTGGTGTTGGCCATAATAGTATCTTAGAATTTTCCAGTGGGGGACAAAGAGCCAGGCAAAAAACAGTGTCTAGTCATTAGGATGGGACAAAAAGGTCATGTCCTGTGTGCCACACGTTGGCGTGCAATAAAAAACCCTTGGCAGTTGGGTAGTAAGAGTAGGTTGTAGCGTAGTGCAGTTGTCAGAATAATCTTCATACAAGTAGGACAGTAAATCAGTATACTATTTAATTTCTTCCTGTGGAGTCTCGCCACAATCTCAATCTTTTTATTTTAGAATGATATTTTGTTAGTGTTATGCAGTAGACTTCAATTAATCTAATTGGTCTGATTCTGCAACAAAAATCACTATGAAGCACAGTAACACACACAAAAATCAATGTTAGTTATTTTGGACTAGCCAGGACGGTGACCAGATTGTGCTCGATGGAGGATGACGTAGAAAGATTAGATTATTTATATATATTGGTTCCTTCTAATTAACCAATTAATGTCTTTTCCTGTTAGCACTGAAGTTGTGATTATAAAGGTTGGTTATACGTGAAAATGAAGTCTCTAAAAACTAAAAACATATATATGTCATTAACAACACGTCAAAAGATGACTCTGAGTCTGAAATATAAATTTGGTCAACAAATGAAACTCACTCTTGCTTGAATTTCTGTGCCTGATCTCGCCAGTAACATATTTCCTCTTGAGGAGTGGCAAATTTCTTTTCACTAGTCATTTTAGGATTTCGAATTTAATACTTAAATTTAATTGTTTTTCAAATATCAAAAATCTATATTGAAAAATCAGTCGAGACTGTCACTGAGAGTTCACTTTGCCAAACGAACTGTCACTTTCATTCATTCAGATATCGACTCTTTCAACTACCATAAAAACTATGAAAAACGTTTCGAATAGTCCAAGTACAATCAGTCTGGTAAAACATAATTGTTCCCACAGCCTCCGACGTTTGGAATTTTCATGTCTTCAATTTAAATTATTCTTTAAAGATAAATATACACAATTTCTCTCACAAAACGGAAGCAGTTGACTAAAAATGGTGGTAAAGTAGTTCCGACAAGAATAAACGACTACGCCTCGAACTACATTTTATATTTATCTACCAAACACTTTATTCAATTTAATAAATATGGATAATTGGTAAACTTTATAAAACTCTTCTTATGAATATACAATTATTTGGCACACTATCGACCAATTTAAAAATAATAAGTGATTCATCGATGGTCTATTTCATAAAGGGACATAACCTTTTCCCTTCCACATCAACACTTCCGGTACAGCTCATTCGGTGCACATCCGTTTTAATAGAGACTTTTGGCAAGAGGATTTTCATACCATCCGTATCACGTATCCGTATCGTCACGTGATACGTTGCGTCAATGTAGTTTTAGAGTTTTGGCAGATTTTCCCGCCACATACGTATGAGTAGCTGAGCTGAGCTTAGTTCTATTACAGCATGATAGCAGTTATCTACTAAGATCACCATCAGTACTACTAGTCAAGTGCCCAGCCTACAAATTCCTGGAGGGAGTAAAGTCGCTCGATAGTCGCTGAGGCATTAAAAAAAACCATTTAATGTCGAATCTTATTAAAAATCTTCGACTTCGACTCGACGGCATTTTTTTTTGGTTTCACTAATGTATCATTTCAGAAAATTTTGCACGTAGATCAAAAAAAAATGAATGTCGAATCTTATTAAAAATCTTCGACTCAACAGCAATTTTTGGTTTCAATAATTATCATTTCAGAAAATTTATACCCCGTTACCATAGAATTACATCATTTACAGATTTGCAAGGTGCACTACCTAAATTAAGTACGTAGATCAACAAGCATGCAGACAGACAGGAAAAATATGAAAATTTCGAGAATAACTCATCAAAAATAATGATTACATTCCAGTCTTTATCATGGTTAAAATCACATCAAATATACACCTTTGTGTTCTAGGATACACATATTTTCATAAACACGCTATGGTATAACAGTTCAGTGTCTAAAAGGTAGCAAAAAGGATGGTAAAAAAATAACGATGTTATAGGGACCTTTTTCGGATGAAAGCTGTTCGATACGTACTGCCGTATCCGTGTGTCGTATCACGTATGAGAACTACGCGCACATTGATGACGTCACAAGCAAAACCGATACGGATACGTGATACGGACCAGAAATTTACGCTTGCCAAAAGTCTCTAATGTTCTCGTTGCGCGTAGCGTAGCGATGAACAATAAGCGACAAAAGGTAGATTAGACCTTGCGTGATTTCACTTTGTCCTAAAAATATTTTCTAAAAATAATAATACATGGTTTATTTTTGGAATTTAAAGCGCGAATATCTATCTTTTTAAAAAGCACACAATCAAATTTCAAATCCTGCACGTCTCATAACTAGAACACGAAAATTTGATCATATATCAGCTAAGTTACAGAAACGCTATTGGCTTCCAGTTCGAGCGAGGGTTCAATTTAAAGCTCTTGTGAATGTGTTTAAATCAATTTGTTCTGACACTCCGCCCAGTTTTTTAAAAGAACTCTTTGATTTCTATTCTCCTCGGCGATCCATAACCTTCGTTCTTCAAGTGATCGTAGCATATTGAGGATTCCGAAACATAATGAACGTTCTGGTGAATATGCTTTCTCCATCAGAGCAGCTGAGTGGAATGATCTTCCAAAAACTCTTCGAGAGTCCTCTTCCATTCAGAGCTTTAGGACTAACTTAAAAACATATTTATTTCAAAAATGTTTTTGAACTGTTTTGTTGTGAATGCGCGTAGAAACGCTCATGTCTAATGAAGCGCTATATAAATCGAACAATAATAATAATAATAATAATGGGAAAGTTAGGACTTCGTCCTTCGTGATTTTTCAGAGTTATCGTGTCGAAAACATCGACAAATCACATTTATATCTGCTAACTTTAAACAGAAAACGTTTATTAACAAAGGCAGTCAAGATATTGATGTAATGAAATTAAACATCAAATTTTCGTGATTTTCAGAGTTATCGTCTTCCAAAGCATCGGTAAATCAAATTTATCTCTGCCATTACTGCCAATCCTAAACGGAAAATACCGAACTTGGTCATGGTATTGGCGCAATCGTCATATATGCTCTTAAGTCTTGATCTGTTTAAAATTATACACATTCTACAGTAGATATCGCTAACTTTCATAATCTATACAAAAGAATTATATTTATTTACTTGTGCGTGTAAAAAACCTAGCAGTTCTACTTGTTTTTTTTTGTTTTTTTGATATCGTAGGATATTCTCTAAGTACACTTTTTAAAGTGGATTTATTCAAAACGTATGTATTGTACATTATTTATATTATTCTTCACATCATTAATTAAATTAGTAAATTGTTATACACGGACGACACAGCGATGAAAATTCGACTAAGAATTATCGCAATTCGCAAGTGGGGCCGGCCGATTTGCCGATCTATATTAATGCACGTGGGGTGACAACTCTTTCGGGATTAACATTTATAACAGAGTTATTTCCCTTCACCAGAAAACATCTGAGGGAGATCGACAATGCACGTCTTAATGCACCAGATATTATATGTTCCAACATAATTAGCCTGCAAGCTAATGAGGTCTCTCTACGAACTAATTTCACTAGGCTAATTAATCGCTGTGCTCATGGCAAATTTGTATTATCCAATAGACAACACCCGGGTCCCAATTACTTACTGTAGTAGGTGTAGACTTTGGCCTTTTCGAGATTTTGTTCATCTTATAATTTTTGTTGGTGAAATATTGTAATGCTTTGATTCGAAGATGTATTTTAATGTGGCTCTATACTTTTTCCGATAGCCTAACCCAGCTGTTTTTTTGTTTTATTTTTTTATTTTTTATGTCATAACTTTCTTTTGAAAAAGTAAATTATTTGCTATTATATTAGTTATCCGCAGAGACTTATCATCACCATGCATCAATGTGTGTTGCTTCGAGCGTAGTAGGCTCTATTTTAGGACAGTTACCCATGAAATGTAACATAAGCATAAAAATCTATTAAATTTTTTCAGTGTTGTTCATATTTGAAATCGGGGAGTTCCCATCAGTGTATAAACACTGTCACTTTAGGCATATAGAAGAGCCAACTTCAAACAGTAAATACAGATTTTACTCGAAATATTTCTGCCATGCCACAATTCAGTGGAATGACAAGCACCTGTGCGGTGGCGTTTGTACGTATATACAAGGTAAAAAATACCAATTTCAAGATACAAAGTTGAAATTTCAAGATACTAAGTTAAACGAGATAATTAATTCGTTCAAACGAGATACTAATTCGTTCAAACGAGATAATTCGTTCAAACGAGATAATTAGTTTGTTCAAACGAGATACCAATTCGTTCAAACGAGATACTAGTTCGTTCAAACGAGATACTAGTTCGTTCAAACGAGATACTAGTTCGTTCAAACGAGATACTAGTTCGTTCAAACGGATTAATATTTGTTTTTGTTTTTCACTAATGGGCCTTCGTAGGTACCCCCCACCCCCACAAAAAAACAACAAAAACCCACGACCATATTTAAGCTTCCGCAGGTTAACAATAACAAGAAAAACATATCCGCCTTATGAACTTTACTGTAGCCTACAAAACACAGTCAAAACAAGGATCATAACAATAACAAGATCATCAAAACATAAACATGGCATAATTATTATCGGGTGAGTTCATTAAAAAATATCAAGAATAGAGGTTTAGAGGGCAAGGCAGCAACATTTTTGTTTTTAAAAAAATCCTATGTCGTTTACAACGTTATGCCGAACATTGACGTCATTGACTGTTTTCCTGGATAGACGAAGGAAAAGCGTCTGACGTTAATCTTATCTTCATTGAATTGTTCAGCGCCCACACAAGCTGATCTGATTCTTCAGACATGAATGAAAATATACGCCAAGGTCACTCATATCTGTTTTGTTCTGTAATGTAGCGCTTGGAGAACATAAGCGCGCGTGAATCGTAGCGCGGAGCTAAACCATGGAACGCGGACTCATCAATCTGAAAGAACAACACCTTCAAGAAGCAGACGACACATGCGATTATGAGGTTGGCAATGTCATTTCTGACGTAAAATCTGATGCAATACAAATCTAATTTTATCAGCTCAGCGGCAATTTATTGCCACGATCACAAACTTAATAACGTAAACACGGGAGGACAAAAAGGTATTCGACTTATTTATGAAATGTGGCAGATACAAATTCTTGGACATTATTGAAAGACGTCATTGATGCGACAGGAAAGACATCCCCATTAAATACTAAAACAAATACGCCTACTAATTAAAAGCAGCACATATTTTTATGACGGAAATTTAAAAGGGTTACAAAATTAATGTGGGTTGTGAGTAAACAGTAGAAATACAGTAGCCGTAAAACTGAAAAACAATAGCAGATAAATAATAAATTAAAGACATTAAAGCCTACAAAGCGAACATTTAATTTATTAAATACCAACCAGAAAAATAAATATGATTGAATGTAGTGGATTGGTAAATATAAAAAACATGTTTTGCAAAGACATGGTGTTCAAGGTCATAGCTGGTTTTTTTTCAGGATTCGAATTGATGGACGTACAATAACACCAAAACAACAATCATTCATCACAGTTCTCTATAAACTATTAATCTTTTCAAAATAAAAACTGTCGAAATTATATATTATTCGAACATATGCATAGGTCTACCCTTCATAATTATGTTGTCGACGTTATCGTTAATGAATTACATTTTTTTATTTAAGGAGGCATTATTCAAGAGCTAAATCTGCCCATTGTAGGTCTTTCTTTAGGCCTTTAATGTTATATAATTTTTTAATTAGACATTTATTAACATGAAGGAACCATAATCAACCCTCGATGCCATCGGCTGGCTCCGATATTAAGTAGATTAGAACTGTTCGACCAATTAATGATTTAATTTAAAAATGGAGAAGCGAGGCTAAGCCTCCAATAACAAGCATCGTGGTTACGATAATAAACAATCAATGCACGCATCTTGTCAAAACTACAAACATTGATAACTTCGCTCAGAGTAAAGTAATTTGAAT